TGTTTTAAACCCGTTTGTTGTAATTTTTGTGGATTTTTGACTGTTTTGTGTCTCTTTGAATCTCTTTGGTCACATTGGCTGGTACATGCCTACAAATCAGATGTGTTTCTAAGACCAAAACAAAGTGAATGTCAACTTCACAAAAGCACTCCAAATCAAGCAGCATATGTTCATTTACCGCTGCCAAAAGTTCTGAGAGAGGAAACTCCACCTTCAGAAGTCTGTGGACACCTCAGTTATGTGGAGAATCCACAACACTCCTCAGAAATGAGAGAAAATGTTGTTATTAATATGGTGATGTCATAAAGACAAAATAATCCACTGGATTCATATTTGTTTTCCAAATCCCAGCAGAGCAGGTGCTTTCCTGCACTGTATATAAAAGATGGACACAACTATCATGATGTCGTTCACTGGATGTGACTACTTTGTATGGATGGATTTTGTATGTCTAGCATCCTAGACTGTGTGGGAGCATCACACAGACACACCTTCCTGCTAACATAACATGTAACATCCAATCAAACTCAAATTTCACTCACTACTGAAGTGGAGCCTTCTTGGACGGTCTGCTAGTAGAGTAACCTCACAGCAGCCATATTATTGGTCACATGATGTCCAACAGCGCAAACACGGCCCAGGGGTCTAGTTCAGGTGAAGCTAGCTAGCAGCTACATCGACCTGTGTCACCATCCACCTCTCCATCAAACTTTAAGTGTTAATGTGAGTTCTGAAAATGTTATGAAGGAAGGGGAAAATTATCAATAAAGATCAGAACAGTTTGTGTATCAAGCTGTACACATGTTTATTAGTTTTAACATGGGAGTCTATGGGAGTGAACTCACTGCTGCCTCTCCTGGGAACTAGAGGAACTGCAGGGTTTGGCACTAAGCTTTTTATTGCTTCAGTCACTGTCTGCAAGTGTTCAGGTAGGACCCTTCTCCTTAGTTTGGTTGCCGTGATGCCTCAGTGTGGGTGGAGGCTTGTGCCCTTGTCTGTCTGCTGTTTTTTTGTGGGCTTTTCTTTGTTTCTGGTTGGAGCTTTTTTCCTCTTTATGGTTGTTTTCTATCCTCTGTGTTTGTTGGCTGGCTTTCTCTGTTTTGTGTCTTTCATGAAACCTGACTTGAGTTTTCAGCTGAGTTCCTCCCACAAACTTTTTGCTCTGTGCCGATGAACTGAATTATTAAATGTTAATAGCAGATGGAGCTTTTATTGTGTGTGTGTGTGTGTGTGTGTGTGTGTGTGTGTGTGTGTGTGTGTGTGTGTGTGTGTG